TCGCACGCATTTTCACTTATAAAACAAATATACAATCATCGATCAAATTACAAATTTAAATAATTACCATCAAACGCAATTGTTCCGTAAAACAGTCCACAAAATGCTCACTTCCGTTGAATTTTTTTGCGGGATATTTTATTGGACTTATTCTCGGTCTCTCTCTGCATTATAAAACTTACAATCAGCTCGACAATATAAGCCAAAAGCTTGAAGCGATAATTCAAGCAGTCGAGCCAGGAAAATTTAAAGTAAAATCCAAACCCGCCAAACTACTCAGTGAGCGAAAATACCGAGAGAACGTCGAAAATCTATGGAAAGATTTTAAAAATTTATTTGATACGAAAACTGAGCTCAACTTTCTTGTTTAACAAAATGGCAACCGAAATCTATACTTTACGTGAAGGAAAAGGCATTGCTGCCTCAACTCTAAAAAACTTTTACCTGCGAAAAACTAATCCACGGAAAATGACTGTCGAAGCAGTACAGGAGTGGGTTGATAAAAGAAAAGGAGAGGGGAGAAGAAGACGTTGACAGCCTTAATAATACTGTGTAGCATAGATTCACTAGCGCGACCAAAGTATAGGGGTACTCATCAATGGCTTTGGGTCCGAGTATTTCCTCCCATGCAATCGCTCTAGTGAATCTTCAAATATATCTTGTTTATAAAGAAATAATAAACAAAATATGTGTACCAATTATTGTAAATATTAATACCTGATTATGTTAATCTTTTGTCAAATCTTTAAATGAAAAACGAAACTCGTAAATTGTTCTGGCGTAATGAAACATGGGTCTCATTTATACCATCGTGCTGCCATATAGACTACAAATAACGTTTGTTGATTTAGATTGTTTTGATCTCTGTTTCAAGTAAAAAAAAAATCAACAATCCCGAAGCGTTATTGCATTTTACGAGGTTGACATATTTTCGAAGACAATGAAGTTTTACGATTACGTGCGATCATTCTAAATGTGAGTAGTTTATTCGTCATGTACACAATTTTTGCGCGTCTGCATGTGAAAAAATCCTAGTAATACGTCATTGATTAAGCCACTGATCAGCGTTAGTATATTAGATCACATCGCGCAGCAGCATCTTTCTATCATAACAAAACGAACAATGAAAACATGGCAAGCATTAAAAGAATCGAACAAGAGTTGGCGAAGGCGGAAGAGAGGCTAAAGGAGGCGAAGGAAGCATTGAAAATGTTCAGAAATGGACCCCGTGGAAGGCGACTGTACTTCATATATGACAAAAAGTTGGAGGACGCAGGACTTAATGAAGCGGAGAAGAACCAGCTGGTGGAGAAAGAGGACAATTTGGAGAAAGATGAAAGGGATTGTAGAAAGACAGTGAACAATTTGGTAGCGAAGCTCCTGGACATGCCCACGACAGGTAACGGCTTCATTGGAGTGTAGCAAATATTTTCTATCTATCGACAATGACTAATTAGTTCTCGTGATTTCCTTTTTTTCCTATTGATTGTTGCGAAATATAAGAGTTGGCCAAAGGAGAATGTATCCACCTATTCCAACTGGGAACATTTAACCTTTCGAGAGATTGTGCTGTTTGCGACGTCGACTTCCCTTTTGCATACTCCGTCTCGTTAACTATCTACTGTGATCATATTTAGAATCGCGTCGAAGCTCGACAGACAGCGTCAAGAGCGTTCAAAGAAAGCGACGGCTAGAGATCTTGCAAGACTATGTGTCGACCCACAAAAAGAGGAAGTCGGATGGCAAACTGGCGTTTGATGGTAATTATTTAAATTTGTAATTTGATCGATGATTGTATATTTGTTTTATAAGTGAAAATGCGTGCGA